AAGAAGAAGAAGAAGAAGAAGAGATTGGATTTATACCCCGCCCTTCACTTGGAGGCTCAGAGTGGCTTAAAAACTCCTTTCCCTTCCCCTCCCCCCAACAGACACCCTGTGAGGTGGGTGGGGCTGAGAGAACTCTGACACAAACTGCTCTTTTTCAAGGACAGCTGTGCCAGAGCTTGTGACTGACCCAAGGTCACATCAGCAGGTGCAAGTGGAGGAGTGGGGAATCAAACCCAGTTCTCCCAGGTTAGAGTCCAGACACTTAACCACTACACCAAACTGGCACCATAGGTGCAGTTGGAGGCCTGTATCAACATCTGTGTATCTGTGACATCTGGACCCCATCTGCAGATATCTAAACCCACAGAGTGGGGCCACGCTGAGCTAAACAGATTTTTCTACTAACTTGGGGGATCCCCGAGGTATGCAGAAAAATCTGAAATGTTAAAAAATAGGGGGTTTATCTTCCTCCAAACTTTTTAAAAAATTGTCTGTGCATGCGCAGATAACACATTTATGGTGGCTCTTCAGTGGCCATTGGGAGCCGCGGTGGGACTGGCGGCAGAAGAAGAATAAGAAAAGATTGGATTTATACTCCGCCCTTCACTACCCAAAGGCGTCTCAGAGCGGCTCACAAACTCCTTTCCCTCCCCCTCCCCACAACAGACACCCTGTGAGGTAGGTGGGGCTGAGAGAGCTCTTTCAAGGACTGCCCTTGGGAGAACAGCTCTGAGAGAAGTCGTGACTGACCCAAGGTCACACCAGCAGCTGCATTTGGTGGAGTGGGGAATCAAACTTGGTTCTCCCAGATTAGAGTCTGCGATCTGAACCATGACACCAAACTGGCTCTTAACCACTACACGAAACAGAAACACGATGGGGCCGGAGCAGCTCCCAGACATGGTGGTTTTTGGAGTCATGCCAGGCTGAGTGATGGGGGAAAGGGTCACCAAGAGCTTGGCCAATGTCTACACTGCTGGAGTTTTGCGACCAACTTTGTCGGAGCAGCTTCAATGAAGAACGTTTTCCTCCACGGCCGAGTTGAGTCCTCCAGTCTCGCGATCCTGCGTCGTCTCACCCGTCGGCTTGTGCTGTGGTTCAGCCGCAGTGCCTTTTGTGGTCACTGCGAGGAACATGGTTTCTTCCAACTTGGGGGGTCCCCAGCCTTTTTTGAGCCCTTGATCACCTTTGGAATTGGTGGTGGCCACAATCACAATATGGCTGCTACAGGGGGTGGCGCCGGCTACAAAATGGCTGCTGTAGGAGGCGGAGCCACGCACACACAAAAGAACCCCGACTGCAGGGGAAAGGGGGCTGTTTTTAAAAAGACACGGGGGAAGAAGAGTGAAAGGGGAATAAAACCAACCCTGCGGTGGCAAGCTACCCCTGAAACGTTATTTCAATCTGTCTAGCCGGTTAGATCTCCGGGGTCAATCAGAAGCCCTGCTGGGCAGTGCCTGACTAGGCACCATCCCCTTTCTTAAGAACACTTGGTGAGCACCAGAAAAAAGTCAGCGGGCACCGTGGCGCCCACGGGCACCGGGTTGGGGACTCCTGTTCTAACCTCTGTCCTTTGTCTGTTTGCCGCAGGCGAAACGCTGCTCAGCCCCTTGGTCATGTGCGGGCCCCACGGACTGAAATTCCTGAAGCCGGTGGAGCTGCGCTTACCACATTGTGCGTCTATGACCCCTGATGGTTGGTCTTTTGCTCTAAAATCCTCCGACTCCTCGTCGGGTATGCTGTCCTCCCTCTGTCCTTTTGGGGCTTTTGGGTGCTATCGAATAATTTAAACCCCGCCTTGACTGACGGCGGCACTGTGTGTGACCTACCGAACCTGTTCCGAAAATCACTGTATCTGTGTCAGCACTCCCATTTCATTTTTTTCCCCCTCATTACAAAGTGTCTTTCTCGCACTGAACTCATGATGCAAAAATTCATTTCGGGGGAAACCAGAACGGCAAGGTAGATAATAACCATAACGTGTACACTTGTCATTGGTCCATTCAGTTGGTACCATTATCTACCTTGCTTCCTTATCTCACACTCTCGCTGTCTCTCTCTCTCTCTCTCTGTCTCTCTCTCTGTCTCTCTGTCTCTCTCTCAAGGACTAATACTGCTGCGAAACACTTAAGATGAGAAAGTCACAATTTTTCCTTTTTTTTGGTCAAATTGTGCTAGGAATTCCGATCGGCTCTTCCAACCGCTGGTGTGGTCTTTTTTTCTGACCATGGAAAGCTGTAACGGTCCCATTAAACTGAGCCAGCACACCTAATATTTGGGGGGCGAGCTTTCTGATGCACCAGCTGCGAATGTATAAATTGGGCGGTTCGAAGAAAACTCAGATCTCTCGTTCCTTGGCTGCACTAATGTGCGCTTCTAAATTCTGAAATGTGATGGAGAGATGGTCTCCTTCGGGGGGGGGGGAGACGATAGCGGAGAGAACGAGCTACAGATCTGGCGTGCCTGTGCTTTTCCTTCCCCAGTAGTTGCTTCAGTTCCCGCTGAACTTAAAGGAGGAAAAATCACAGTTGGCTGAAAACCCCCGGTGATAAAAGAGCATTAGGACGACACAGAATTTCTGTATAAATTGCAAGCAATTTCATGAAACAGCTGCCAAGTTACAGCCTTGGAGGGGATGTGTGTGTGAAAAAAAGAACCCCTTCTTCTGCACACTGGACAAAAAAAATGTCTTAAAGGGTGTCCCCCCCCTCCTGCTGCTTTGAACCTGTTTTGACGCCCTTAATGTATACATATCTGTAATATGGTATATAAAAAGCGATGTACTTATGTGTACAGTATTTAAAAGAAAATGTATTCCTCGTTGTCAGTGATGTATCTATCCTTTTCGATGCCAGAATGTTGACGCAAAAGAGATGTGCAGGGAAATAGGGCGTCAGACGCTTCTCTGGTGGGGTGGATCCAGTTACTTAGAGAAATCCTGGCTGGGTGATTTTTTCCCCACTGGTATTTTATGCATGTCTTGCATGCAGCTATTTACTGTATGTTTAAAAAAAACGCGCAAGAAAACCCTGGAAGCGCTAGAAAAATCTTGACAGTTCCGAGTCCTAGAGGATCCAGAGAGCTGCCTCTTAATAATCCATTTAAACACCTTCCAAATAATTCTTTTCCCCCCCAAAATATGATTTTGTAACTGCTGTTTTGCTGAACCTGTTCATGAATTTACTTGAAGTGAAAGGAAGCAAACAAACACGGTGCCAGTTCTTCCCCAATCACCTTGGCTGTTGTGAGAAAGAGCTTGTTCCTTTCCCAGTTAAGAGTGTATTTTCTTTTGTGCGTGCTCCTGTCTGCGTGTGTGTGTGTGTGTGTGTGTTTGTGACGAGGGTGTCCTCTTTTCTGTCTGTAACCGGAGCTGTCCGTCTGCCTCGCAGCTAAAAAAAAACGTGATTTCAATGTGGTGTGTGTTATCAGTAATTTTGCTCCTTGAGACAACTTCACAATTGGCCAACTCTTTGTCTTCTTCTGATGTGTAAGCCATACTGTGTCTTAAATAAATACTTGTTTTCTCTCTTTCTTAAAAAAAAAACAAAAAATTAGTTGGTTATGGGATCTCTTTCTCTCTTGCGCTCTCGCTCTCTCCTCAAGCTTTTCCTCGACATGTTTTTTCTCCATGTTCTGTCCTCTCGAAACAAAACGTTTTGGTTGTACATAACTAACCTCTCCTACAGCACATTTTAAGAAGTCAAAAGCACTGGCACATTATCCTTAAGAATATAGTCCCTCGATTCATCTCATCTCATGAAACCGAGGGGGACGACTGACTTCCAACTTTAAGTAACCCCAACACACAACCAGTACTTAACCCACCCCCAGTTTGTTATATTTAGTTACCTGGTATTATTAGGAGCTGCGGTGGCTCAAGTGGTTAAGACGCTGAACTGCAGGCTGTGGAAGGTCAGTAGTTCAGCAGTTCGAGACCCGGGTGCCGCATGATGGAGTGAGCTCCCATCTCTAGTTCCAGCTCCTGCCCACCTAGCAGTTCGAAAGCAAGACATTGCAAGTAGATAAATAGGTACCACTTCGGTGGGAAGGTAACAGCGTTCCGTGCGCCTTGGTGTTTAGTCATGCCGGCCACATGTCTTCGGACAGCGCTGGCTCTTTGGCTTTGAAACGGAGATGAGCACCGCAACCCTAGAGTCGGAGTCGACTGGCTTTCGAGCAAGGGAACCTTTACCTTTACTTTATTGAATTATTATTACTTAGCATTAGTACAAAGTTGCCTCACTTCCCATAGTTCTAGATTTTTTCAGACTTGGGTTTCCACCCCATGTGAGGAAGGTGTGCTTGGCGTTACAGTTGCTTACCACTCCGACCTGTACCTTTATGTTTAAGAAACTCTCGATTATTTCCCCTTCATGAGTGTTGCTAAAAGCCGACACCTCTCCTCTCGCCAAGACATCCCACACTGCCTGACATTATTACCTAACGGGATGGGAACGCTTTTTTTTTTTTTTTTGGACAAAGTGAAGGTCTGCTCTCCAGGATTGGGCTGGGGTGATTGGCCATCCGAACATAAAATGTAAACCAGGCCCTCCAAATCTACAAGCGAATTCCAAAGCTGCTCATAATATTCCAGTTTCCACTCCGGATGTTGTCATCACTCCTGCATATCGGTCATTGTGTGCATCATGTTTGTTTCCATGAGTTCCTAGCAAGGACTTCTGACTTGTTTTCTGTAGCACGCTAGAACGTTTACCAAAATCTGTGGCGTTAGCCAAAGGGCAGAATCAATCTAGGCTTAGTAGATTTCCTAATATGGATAGGATCGTACGAGTTTTCCATGCATACGTGCACTAACTCAACTCCGCGGAAGGGGTACGTCTCTGTTCTACACCAGGGGAGAGATGCAGTGATAGGCCAGAGGGCCACCGGGAACTTGTGAGTGAAGCTACGGGAGGAGATCGGGCCAAACGGGAATAACTGCTTATGATTCGGGCCACAGTAGCTCAAATTACGGGACTAAACTTGCTGTCGCCTTTACCACCAGCACAGTTTGGATTGGTGCAAACCTAGGAGGAGACTTGGAAACAGGTAGCCTAAGAGAATCTCCAGCTTACTTAGGAGAGGAAGCTAAGGAGTGATAGCGCATTCTTCAAGTTCGCAGTGACAGGTTTAAAGTCCTTGATCTGCCTTCACAAACACAGTTGTCGATCGGGCACCTTCCAGCTGTTAAAACTTGTTATCTCAGTTTTCCGGTTCGTTCATCACACTGGGTGGAAAAGAGCTCTCCAGCGGCTGCACATGGCCACTGCATTCTGGTTCGCCTTTGTATTACAGGCAGTACCAGCCGATGGCAGATGGAGTGAAAATTTGGGGTGGGGGGAGTGACTGGGACTTCCGTGTTACCTGTGGTGAGCAAACAGCTACCCCAGCTTTGTCCAGAATACAGGATGAGTCGAAAGCAGCACGGGTGATCACTCAGCAAGACTGCTAGTAGTAGCTGTTGAGGTGAACACTACAGTCACTGGGAGCCTTCTTTCCATGCAGTGTGGTGAACTTACAAACCAGGGCAAGTATTCCTCAGAATACAAAACCCGCGGAGCAGACCTAGAGCAGCTATCCTTGAACGGCAGGTAGCGCCTTCTGCATTGGTTTTAGACAGCCGGATTCCGCTCAGAGAATATCTCTCCCTCTGCCCGCCCAGTCTCTCTCCAGGTGCTGACGATTCAAAAAGGACACTGGCCGCTTAGCCGTGCAATATTGGCACCCACCCAGCAATGCTCCTTCTAAGCTGTGGAGTCTTGTGAGCAAAAATTCTACTTTGTGAGCTACTGACATTAAAGTTGTGAGCCAGCGATTTGGCTGCTGCATCAATTAGTTTGCTCTGGAGCCATCCTTCCTGGGCTAAGACAAAAATGTGTGAGCCGGAGGCTAAAAAACTGTGAGCTAGCTCACACTAACTCAGCTTAGAGGGAACACTGCTGCCCAGCATCTAAAACTAGCTTGCACCGTTAGTCATGGAGCCTTTGGGCTTGGTGTGCTAACAATTGTGCTCTTAGAGGCTGTGAGTCCAGGTTTCAATTGGTTGCTGGGCACGTGTGATTTTACACAACTAAGTTTCCCCCTCCCCTCATTTAAATGAGGCCTCTGTGTACCTGAACTGTCTAGAGGCGATCTTTCATTTTGCCAGGGGTGTTCAGACTCCACATCTTGAGGGAGCTACATGAGAAAAATGCACGGTGGGAGCTCTTTGTACATCTGAGTTCCACTCAAATCCCTTTGCTTGGGTGTCCGTCCCAGGTCTTATTGGGGAAGAAAAGAGTTCTCTGAGACCATGATTCAGATGTTCATCGGGGATGGCTTTTGCTAGGATAGTTTAATAAAGTACAGATATTCTCCGGCCGAAATGGAATCGCGTGTCTCTGTAGGGGAAGTTAATCGAAAGAAAAAGCTGTGTTGGGCTTCCGCAGAGCAGTGGGCGGAACTGCTTTGAATTTTCCCCAAATTGCTAAATCCTCTCCTAGCCGAAGATTATACACCTGGCTAAAAAAACCAGGAGACAGTTGGCAGGAAGCTTAACATAAAAGGGGTGCTATTGTCCAATGTGTTGGCATTTTGATCATGGATACTAAACTACCACATTGTTTTCCTCCTACAGGTGACCCCAAAACCTGGCAGAACAAGTCTCTTCCCGGGGATCCAAACTATCTTGTTGGAGCAAACTGTGTCTCGGTTCTAATAGATCACTTCTAACCCTTAACATTAGTAGACTGACCCAAGTGTGAAATCAAGATTTTTCTCATTTAAAAAAAAAAAAAGACCTTGCCCAGAAACTGAACCACTCGTATCAAGTATTAACCGTTCTCTTAGTGTTCAAGCAATCTTTGCTTTGATTAACAACGGATAGTAAGTACATTCTTGAACCATGGTCAGGGCACATGCCGTTCATCGGCAGAGCAGGGCACCCCCGGGACCAAGGCGAGGCACCCGCGGGGTTCTCTTTGGCTTTTCTTACATGGATGCGGCGGATCCACCATCGCTTCAATCTCTCTTTGACTACCAATGAAGCAATGCAATTTGTTACTTTTCAGAGGAACTGCTGAATCCACTGCTGAATTTGGCCTTTTTCTTACAAAACCTTTTCTATATGACAACAGACAAACAATAAAAAAACAAAACACATGTTTGTGTGTTTCAGAATATGCAAAGACTATATTGCGGACACCAGGTTGTTTTTAAAACTGACTTCCCTTTTTTTTTGGATGCATTTTGCCCATGAAGTGGAAATCAACTTTTTTGGCTAGCACAATAGAGAGGTTTGTTTTTGTTTTTCCCTTTTCCCCCTTCTGCTAAAAGGGGGTGACTTACACGCACGTCTGCTTCAATTGTACATGAACACCACAATTTTGGGGGGCGGGAGGGGGTGTCGTAGGGAGAAAGAGAGAGCACGCATGTGGTATGACAATGGTTCATCTGCCTCTGTCAGCCTGTAAATTAACAACATTTAAAACATATTAACCAGCAGGGATGCCTTACCCATTTATTTTTTACCTGTCTTCGCTCTCATCCTAATTGTCTGTACTACTAAATTTGTATGGCTTCTGTGCTTACTTAGATCTAAAAAAAAAATTCTTGAGAGAGTCTGAGAAACTGATTCGATTTGTGAGCATTGCTGATCTAGAGAGAGAGGCGGGAAGGGAAACCACTTTCTCTTGTTTTGTTTTTTTGCATTGATCAACCAGAGAAGACCCCCGAAGAACTTGATGGTATGTTTTCTGCTATGCATTCTGGAAAATTCATAGATGTTCTAGATTGCTTGTATATAACTCCGTGCATACCACTCTTTTTTTTGGTTTGTTTTTTGGTTTTTGTTCTCGGTTTGTAAATTAACTTTTATAAGCTTTACCTTTTTTATATATATAAATATATATAAAAATTATGTATCCACAATGTGGGCTCAAAGAGGCTTACACAGTTCTCCTTTCCTTCATTTTATCCTCACAACGATCCTGTGAGGCAGATTAGGCTGAGAGCATATGACTAGCCCGTGGTCACCCAGCCACCTTCCGAGGCAGAGTGGGGATCCGAACCCGGGTCTCCTAGACACCACCACAAACACTGGCTCGAGCTCGTATCTATAAGGGGAAGTACAGTTTTGCTTCCATCGCTCTTTTTCTCGAAGGGCTTAAGTTAAACGATCTCGTAACCACAAGTCAGTTTTAATTTGTAAAATGTCAGCCGTGCGAGAGAGTACCTTTTTTATATATATAAATATATATAAAAATTATGAAAAGGTTTTCTTAATATCTTTGTATTCTCATACCTTTTGAGCCTTGAACTTTGACATCTTGCAGCAATAACGCAGCATTTCTACGGTGTGTGGAGGAGAGGGGGGGGAAAGGACTCTCTTTTTTTAAGAAAAGAAAAGAAAAATGCACAAAGTTGTTACCTTTTCTAAAAGTGCTGCATTAAAAAAAAAAAAAACACTAACTCGGAATTCTCTAGTTTGATTACGTTCTTGGGAAATCGAAAAGAAAAAAAGAAAAAGAAATATCCCTACTGTAATTTGTGATAAGGAGGCTGTACTAGTACGTGCCCCGAAATGTATTTTTTTACTAATAGACAATTTATTACGGCACATCAGCACTATTTCTGTTTAGATGATTAATTATACCACTGCATTCTGTTGATCAGTTATTTAGCTATACAGGTGTGGCTGATTCTTTTTTTTTTTTCCTTTGCCATTATTAAAAAAAAATTACACATTTCTAAATATATGGAATAAAAACTGTTTTTAAAATAATCGGACAATTTTCCCGTATCTTCTTGTTTCTGAAATGGATAACGATCTGCAGTCTTGATAAATCCCCCATCTTTTCAAGCCTTATGGCTCAGGGCCAGGATATCAGAAGGACCATCTTCTCCGGCACATTTCTGCCTGGGAATTAAGATCATGGGGAGGGGCCCTTTTGATGGTCCCACCAATCAAAGAAGGTCGTTTGGTGGGCGCACACAAGGCAGGGCCTTTTTGGTGGCGGCCCCATGGCTGTGGAACAGGCCCGTAGCCAGGATTTCGTGGCTTGTGGGGCAATTTTTTTCCTCTGGTGGGGCTGAAGTTCTCAGTGCAGAAAGAAAAGCCATTTAGCCAGTAGAAAGCTGTTAGCGGGAGAGAGCTCTAAACTTCAAGCTGTCAGCGACTGTAGATGACAGTTCTCAGCTGCTGCAAGTTAATTGCTTCTGCCAGCTGAAGCAACAATTCTGAGAACAAGCCAGCAGGTGGGGGTGGTGTCTTCTATAGTCAAGAAAGCTAAGGCAGAAAAACTCTCTGAAAGGAGACCAGTGTCTTGACATAGTGTTAAAAGGGATCCTAGAGGTCACCTACTCCAACCCCCTTGCTCAGTGCAGGAATTAGTCAACTACAGCACCCCACTCTGCTTAAAGGAGTGCATAATTTTAAAAAATGTTTTTAAATAATTGAAAAAAGCATTTACAGGAGAAATTCTTGTGGGGCTGTGTCTTTAAGAAAGGGGGCGGAGATGGTTTTATTTAGGACTGCATTTGACTTGACTAGTTGCTATTTATGGGCAGTCCGAATTGGAGGTTTTAAATTGCGGACGTTTAGGTTTAAGAAAGAAAGAAATCAAATTTTTTTAGATCTTAAGCCACCTTGAGTTCTGCAAGGTAGAAAGGCAGCTCAGAAATGTTTTAAATAAAACAGTTTAGATTCTGCATAAGGCCGAGGTCCCCTGGTCTTTCCTTGACAGTCTAGAGTGGAGCTCTGTTCACGGGCTCCATTGAAGAGCAGGGGCCCCTCCCACAGGTAGTCACAGTCCAGCTGGTATTGTTTTGGAGCGGAATGGCCAGAGAGAAGGCTGCTTCTGATATTCCCAGGGGCTGTCGCCTGTACAGACGGCCTGGCCCTCCGAGCCAGTTCGTACACTCTTGCATGTCTAAAATCACAGTTTTCCTGTTAAGTCACCGCATGTTTCCCTTACCACGCTGCTCCTGATACTCCCGTTTCGATATAAACGGCTGGGGAGCTGTGCCCGTCGTCCCACAGTGGCTTCATGATGGACAAAAGGGGAAATACTTCTTTACATGTCAGGCGATTCAGATGTGGAATCCGCCGACAGAGGATGTAGTGATGGCCAATGTTCCCTCTAAGCTGTGGAGTCCTGTGAGCCAAAAATTCTACTTTGTGAGCTACTGGCATTAAATTTGTGAGCAGGCAATTTGGCTACTGCCAGTTTGCCTTGGAGTCGTCCTTCCTGAGCTATGACAAAAATTTGTGAGCTGGAGGCTAAAAAACTGTGAGCTAGCTCACACTAACTCAGCTTAGAGGGAACATTGGTGATGGCCACAGGCATAGACGGATTTAAAGGGCGATTAGACAAGATTCCTGGAAGAGGGGGGGGTCGTGTCAGTGGCTACTAGCCATGGTGACTGAAGGGAACCTCCATGTTCAGAGGTAGTCCACCTCTGAATCGCAGTTCCGGGAGACAACGTGAAGGCCTCAACCTCTATGCCTTGTTGTTAGATCAAGCCAATGGCCCTCCCAGTCCAACACTCTGTGTCATACAGTGTCCAAAAACCAGGGGCCATCTGGAGGTCCACCAGCAGGCCCAGAAGCCCTCCCACTGTTCCCCTTCCCAGCACCAAGAAGACAGAGTCACTGCCACAGACATAAGAACATGAGAAGCCATGAGGATCAGGCCACTGGCCCATCCAGTCCCACGTTCCGTGTCACACAGTGGCCAAAACCCAGGTGCCATCATGAGGTCCACCAGCAGGGCCAGAACTCCAGAATCCCTCCCACTGTTGTCGTCCCCAAGCACCAAGAAGACAGACATAACAACATATGAGAAGCTATGATGGATCAGACCAGTGGTCCATCCAGTCCAACATTTTGGGTCACACAGTGGCCAAAAACCAGGTGCCATCTGGAGGTCCACCAGCGGGGCCAGAACTTCAACAGCCCTCCCACTATTCCCCTCCCCAGCACCAAGAAGACAGAGTGTCACTGGCCCAGACATAAGAACATACGAGAAGCCATGCTGGATCAGGCCAATGGCCCATCCAGTCCAACACTTTGGGTCACACAGTGGCCAAAACCTAGATGCCCTCAGGAGGTCCACCAGCAGGACCAGAACTCCAGAAGCTCTCCCACTGTTCCCCTCCCCAGCACCAAGAAGACAGAGTGTCACTGCCCTAGACATAAGAACATGAGAAGCCATGAGGATCAGGCCAGTGGCCCATCCAGTCCAACACTTTGGGTCACACAGTAGCCAAAACACAGGTGCCCTCAGGAGGTCCACCAGCGGGACCAGAACTCCAGAAGCCCTCCCACTGTCCCCTTCCCCCCCAAGCATCAAAAATACAGAGTATCACTGCCCCAGAGGGGGGACCCATGGTGCCTTGCAACAACAGTCACACTGGACAGACTCGGCAGTACAAATAAAACGCTAGAAATGCCTCTCCTAGCTAGTCTCAGATGGAAAAGGGGGCAGTCCTTTCCTCCTGGTTGCACAGGGGAGTGCGGGGTTTATATCTGTATAGATTTATTTATTTGGTTTGTATACTGCCCTTCCCACAAGCGGGCCTTGGGGTGGTTCACAACAAATACATATAAACATAGAAATTATCAGCAATCTAAAGTCCAAACATCAAAAATCAAACTGTGTGATAACTTTCTGCATTCAAGGGACTTTCTCCTGAGGACACATTTGAATTTGCAGCCGCCTTTGTGTAGTCCCATCACATAAGGCTCCAAATTGTTTATATTCACAAATTGTTTGCCGTCAAACATGCTTCTTATTATTAAACATACTGTTGATTATTTAACACATGCATAAAATACAATTGATACGTAGACAGACTGGCCATTTGAAGACAACTCCACAATCCCAGAAAAGACTGCACAATTCCAATGGACTGAAAAACATAATTTCTAAATGTCCATAAACCAAGTAAATCCAGTCCTTCAGATTTATGGCAAACAATGAGCTGGATTAAACAGTATGTTTAATAAGAATACCCGAGTGTGCCGCATGACGGAGTGAGCTCCCGTCTCTAGTTCCAGCTCCTGCCAACCTAGCAGTTCGAAAGCAAGAAATTGCAAGTAGATAAATAGGTACCACTTCGGTGGGAAGGGAACAGCGTTCCGTGCACCTTGGTGTTTAGTCATGCCGGCCACATGACCACGGAAACGTCTTCGGACAGCGCTGGCTCTTCGGCTTTGAAACTGAGATGAGCACCGCAACCCTAGAGTCGGATTCTTTACCTTTAATAAGAAGAAGCATGTTTGATGGTGAACAATTTTATTAATTTAAACAATTTGGAGCCTTGTGTGATGTTAAGTGGCATATGATTTATATTCATTCATCTATTTCCTTAAATTACTGTTGGTTACCTTTGCATAGTCCAGCAGAGAGTTTGAGGATGTCAGTTCAGCTGGATTATATGTGGGAAAATGAGAGCTCTGTAGATACCGCAGCTCATTACATTGCTGGTTTTAATGCTCTTCTTTGTTAAACTTATGTAGTGACTTTTGGAGCCGAGACTTAGCTGCCCAATCTAGGTTTTTTGATCAGTGGTGTGCAGGATCCTTGAGGATCTCTGAGGCAATCATCCTTCGAAGCCCCGCCTCTCCTCTGGGGCTCTGAACCAATCCTTAGGATTTTACTAGGTCTCTTGCAAATCCGTGTAATTGTCAGCCAATCAGGACCTGTGGAACTCCACTGGATGGGTGGGGCTGAGGCAACCGCAGCCTTTAAAAGGGTGAAGAAAAACCTCTTTCCCTCAGAGAGGGATTTGGTGGCTCTGGATAAGAGCGTCA